GTTACGCTCAATAATTCGCTTTCAAAGTTTAATATTTCTAATTTTTTTTTTTTAAGTATACACGGGCGAAACTTAAAAAATTTTGTTTCCATTACTCGTATTTATTTTGATCGAATTTTGATTTCGAATGATTGAGATTCGATTTTAACTCTATTAATAAATCAAAAATATTTTTATATTGAAATTTGTTACAAACTTATAATTTTAAATCAAATTGCAAGTGTTAAATAAATTTTTATCAAAATGCCCTCTATATATTGTGATTTAAGAGTATGTAATAGTTTTTCGTATATTTTAAATTAAAATGAAAATTATTTGATAAATACTTCTGTCAGTTGTCATTGTAGTCGTTGTGAATTCTAAGAATTCTATACATTATTGTGAATCCAAATCGGAAAAAATTTTAATTTACTTGTAATTCCTATTCAATTGTTTTCATGAAAGTTGATTAAGGAAATGACATTGTATTCTGATAATTTTAATAAAATTGCTTCTTAATATGTAAGCATATGAATGTACTTATACAAAGAACTATCAATTTTTAATGTAATATTTGTATGTAAATAATTTGTTGTTGTAACGTCAAACATATAATTATAGTTACAAACTTTATATTTTTATTGTTCAAAAATTAAATAGCAAAAGTGTTTTAAATTGTTTAGGTGTTAAAATAATAATTAAATTGAAAAAACAAATTATTTACGTATTTTTCATATACACATATGTGTCAAAGTTCCCATTTAAAAAAAAAACAAAAACTTTAAAATGAATTTCCGCCTTTTTAATACAAGAAGTTTGTATGTGTGTACATAAAATTTTATTAAATTTATAATAATTAAATTTTTTCGTAATAAGTTTTGTTTTTTATTATATTTTATATAAACTGATAAACATACTTTATTACTATTTTTGTTGTATGTATACGTATGTATGTACATATGTACCTTATAAGAGTCTTGAATAAAATGCAATAAATTACACAATTCAAAACTCATCTACAAATCAACAAAATATTTCAAGTATTTTATACTCGCATTTAAGGCATAAGTCACTTAACTTTAACATAACATTTTATAAGTGTTTACCACATTTGGAGTTTGTAAGATTTTAAAAGAAAAAAAAACTTCGCATACTACATAGTTGGTAACAATAAAAATAATAACTTGCGCATAACAAACTTTAATTATGAAATATTGACTTGGTATACACATATATTATGATATACATATATATTATTTTACATTATACTATGTGCATAAATTGTATGTGATTGTGACATGTTTTAATGTAAAACACAATTAATAAAATAATTTATGTGTTTGCATGCTGTTATTGGTATTGAGTCGCATGAAATGTGATATATACACAAATTCATCTTTATATATTATTATGTACAATGTATGTATATATTTAAATATTATTAAGTTACTTATATTCATATTCTAATAAAATGGGTTTCGCAAAATGATGCAAAATATTTTGGAGATTTTTCTTTAAAGAGGCTAGTGTGTTTAATTTTTTTTCATTAAAGTTAATATTCATCTCATGTTTTACTGGAAAAAACTTACTGTTGAGGTGTAGAAAAACGTTCAGTGCTCTCATTGCTTATTTAGAAAAAAGAAAGCAAACTTTTAACAAATTCTTTGAAAAAAAATTGATTAAAAAAATTTAAAAATTTTTACTTGCACTAGCTTTTTTTATTGAAAATTAGAGCTCAAATATAATTAATTACGAAAGCAAAAATAAAATTTTATCCATTACCTGTAAAACAAGTGCTTAGTAGTTGTTACTCTTTGTTGAACAGCTCCCGGGTTCTAAATATTTGTTTGAATGAAGGGAAAATCTGTGATTTTAAATGTTTTAGCTTGAGCATATTATAATCATATCCACAACCTAAATTATCAAAAAATTATTACCGAAATTATTGGCAACATACTTGTATAACGTCATTCTATAAATATATATATATATATATATATATACATATATATACATATACATATACATATATATATAGACGAATTCAGTTTATTTGGAATTTTAATTATGTGATTAAATTAAAAAATCCAATAGTAAAATAAATAATGCATACAAAAAAAGGTCCAAAAAAATAAACAATAATACAAATTGTCGTAATATTATGTATTACGACAATTTGTATTATTGTTGGAGATGTTCTTGCAAATTACAATAAAACTTATTTTTTATAAATGTGATTCATTTACACACACTATTAGAATTTTTCGATAGTAAATTAAATTATTGCGTTGCCGGAGTTTTCGTTTAAACATTTTAATGAGCCAATTTTAAATCACAATATAGTAATACCCTTATAGTATTGTTTTCGTTTCTCGATTTCAAATTTTTACTCAAAATAACACATTTGGCTCCAACCACATTTTCATAAAAATTCTAGTTTCCTCGAAGCAATTAAGTGTTTTAGTCAATTCTTCTACTATTGACATACCTTCCCTATTTTCTCTTTAACACATGGTCAAACTGGATCAGATGACTTTTGCTTCGGAAATATGATCAGTTTTCTGCTGAACCAGCTATAATTTGATGTGCCTTTTTAAAGTGTATCAAATAAATCATTGCTAAAGACTTTTGTCGTAAATGTTCCACAACAATTAGTGATATACGGTTATGATACAATTTTATTTGCAATAAAATAATGAAGGAAAACTTTTTGAAAATTTGGTAAAAATTTAGATATTTTTCTTAAGTCTATAATAATTTTTGATTTAAAAGTTAAATAATATTGTTAACACATAAGATATTTAAAATGAATACATTATACATTCAAAACAGGTGTATATCAAACCCCACTAACATATTATACACATAGCTTGATAGAGAAAGGGCGTTAAATTATAATTATACACCCATATGTGAAATTTTTAAAAAGAATTGCTTTATTATTATTTTTCTCAACTTAATTTTGTTTTACACAAAATCTTTTAAATAATTAATTATTAATTTTCAACAATATTCACAGAAAAATTTGCTATTTGAAAAACAAGGTGAATGAAATTACAGTGTACGTTAATGTTTGCACATTATTGAGCAAAATTTTAATGTAAAAGAAAAAGTGTTTAAAATTTAATATTTACTTTCTTCTCTTTAGGGGTATTTGGATAACCTTTTATTAAAAGTAGATAATTTCAAAATATTTTTTTTTTCTCTATTGCTACTCATTTAGTTTTTATTATTATTACTTCACGTAAAAAAAAATTAAAATGCGACAAACTTAAATTTCAATAATTAATCAAAATTTTTACTTGTTATATGCATACATATACTACATACAATGAAGTAAAGAGTAATTTCATACCATTATTATTTGTTTCTACACACCTCAATCATTTTCCTATACTATGTACTTATATAAATTGTAACAAAAGTTGAGTTGTAATACAGGAAAATGATACTTTCACATCCGAAGGTCTTCTTACATATAAACAAAATCTATGAACAACTTTCACTTAAAAATATCATTATAATGAACAAAGGCACTGTTACAAGTGAACATTTATATATACAGAAATATATATATAAACATACAAGTATAAATATAATATGCATGTTTATGTTGAAAAAATTTTAAGGTGTGTTTATTTAAAAATAAAAAAAAAAAATTATTTAATATACAATGGTGGTAAGCTTAAAACGATTTCAGTGTTTACACCCGTATCTATTCATTACAGTTATAATGTCTAGTACATTGCATTTCTTAAGTATTTCTCAAATTGATCGTCATTATTAATATATATATATATATATATATAATATAAATAGATTTGTAGCTGATTCAATTTTAACTTTAATACCTACACACTCATATTTGTAAATGGTTAATATTAAATATTTTTTAATGTCTACATAGGTAGCATAATATTAAGTGGTGCACCTAAAAATCAATTTGAAATTTAAATTAGTGCTTATTTTATATGCACAGATACAATATGAAATTTTACAATAGTTAGATGTAAAGTAGATCTTGTTTTGTAATGAATTAATTATTTGTCAATAATTTTCATTTTTATGGTTTTTACAATAGAAAAAATTTATAAAATAATTTGAAACTATTTTGACTAATAAATTCAAATCACTTCTTTGTAAGATTTAAGAGGTAATAGATATTTAAGGCGAAAATGACAGCATTGTTTTTCCGTCAATAAAGCAGCATGTAAAGAAAATAAAATTGAAAGGTACTATTAACGTATACGACAGATTGGATCTACGATAAAGTCTCACGAGTATTTACATATCACAGAAAATTTTAAAAGTAGCTTTGACAATTATACTCAAAGTAAAACTCGGCTCACTGCTACATAAAACTTTAGTTAAAAATTAATTGATGCCATTATTTCAAAAAATCTGACATTTAATGATAAGAGAAATCTGAAACAAAGTCTGATGTCAAACAGTGTTTACAAATCCGGCTTTCATCAGACTCAGATTAAATCTTAGATTATGTCGTATGTATAAACAAAAACTAACTTTTGAATTTCTGATAGCATATAATGATACTTGTTCAAAAACTAAAGAGATACTTACTTTTCTAACAAATTCTCAAAGTAGTATACTTATTATTCTTATTATTATCATCAGTTACCAAACTTGAACACATTCTTATAAAATCTTTTAAGAATCTGAAATGTTTAATCCTTTCTCTTGCTTAAAACAAAGATGCTTAAAACAATTGCTTAAATGCTTAAAACAATTTCAAATTTGAACTAATTTTAAATATGGAAATTGAGTTCAAGCAGTTAAAGTTTAATGCAATTTTTACGTCAATTTGACGTTTGAACCAAAAATGTATATTAGGGAAATCTATTTTATAGCTAATTTTCTTTAATTTAGGCAATAAAAGAAATTAATTTTGAATTTATTTTGAATAAAGTTTTATTTTAATTTTATTTAAAAATTTAAATTACATAAATATTTATGTTTCACATTTATTTGATTTTTTTTCTTTTATTTTTTTTTTATTTCAGATGCCCAAAAAGCCTTTACTTGTCCAGAAGCAAACGGTCAATTTGAGGATCCAGTACAATGTGATAAATATTATGAATGTAAAGATGGAGTAGCACATGAAAAACTGTGTCCAGATGGTTTAGTATTCGATGAATCAATTAGAAAAGTAAACAAATGTGATCAACCATTCAATATTGATTGTGGTGATAGAACAGAACTTCGTAAGTTTTATTTTTTATTTAAATATTTTTATCCTTATATATTATACAAATTAATTGGTATAATATACTTTGACATTGAATTAATTTAAATAAATTCTTTTTTCTTATAAATAGAACCACCAAAATCAAATGCTTTATGTCCAAGACGTAATGGTTTCTTTGCTCATCCAGATGCAACAGTATGCAATATTTTCTATAACTGTATTGATGGTGATGCTATCGAAAATAAATGTACAGCTGGATTACATTTCGATGAATATTCTGGTACATGTGTTTGGCCAGATTCCGCAAAACGTGAAGGTTGCCAAGAAACAGGAAGTAAGAGTTTTAAAGTAAAATTAAATTGACAAAATTTGAATTTTGTAAAAAATAAATTAATAATATAATTAAAAATTACACAAAAAAAAATGTCTGCAACGGACGGGTTATTTTCCATAATTATATAAGTCGAAAAAATCATAACTTCAAATATGCAACAATACTGTTTCACTACACATAATTCAGCAATTACAACTCATAAGTTGCATTGTTTTATCAATACATGTATTACTTTTGTTTTAGAAGTCAGAGAAACTTTTTATTCTATAATAATTATTTCGAATGAAACCAGAATGTTAATTAAAAAAATAAACACTCACACTACAAATTGTTTAAGTTTGTAAAGTGTGCTGCAATACGGCATCGAATCACATAAACAATCAAATTAAATTGATAATTGAGAAATGCCATTATATGTTTTAAATTAATATGTGTATATTTATCAGAAAGATGTATTAATTAAAAAGGTAAAACATTTCACACAAAGTAATTTCTAAGATTGATTTTAGTTGAACTGATTTTCGAACTAATTTGGTGAACAAATGTTTTCATTTATTGTTTATTTTTACTAACATTAGTTTTTCCAAAAAAAATGCATCTATTTGTATTACTGTAATTCTATATTATTCTTAGCTATTTGCAATAATTTCAAATTGACTGACAATTGAACACTGGCAAATTATATTCAAGGTTCGAAAGTGCCATAGAAATTACAATACCCGAATATAGATGTATGTACGAACATGTACATATATACACGAACTAAAATAAATTAATAAAAAACTTATATAATTATATTAATAATAAATTATAACAATATTTTTATAAGAAAATTAAATTTTTACAAATATTTATTTAAAATTTATAAATAATATTTGAATGCCATAAATATTCACAATAATTATGCTGTCAAAATTCTAATTAAAATTTATTTTTTGTTTCGTTTTTTCTTTAACAACCAGAAAAATTGAGTGATGGTTTTGAGTGTCCCAAAAGTGCTCCATTAGATCCATCAGGTCAAGCAGTAGCTCATCCGAAATTCCCGCATCCAACCGATTGTCAAAAATTCTATGTGTGCTTAAATGGTGTTGAACCACGTGATTTAGGTTGTCAAGTTAGTGAAGTATATAATGAAGAAACACAACGCTGTGATGCACCTGAAAATGTACGGGGTTGTGAAGATTGGTATAAGGAGGCTGATGAGAAAAAGAATTAAGAATCTTTAATTTTTTTTTTTTTGTGTTTCTATTATTCCTTTTTTTGTAAAATTTTTATTTTGTTATAATTTAGAAGTGAAATGATAAAAATATATTTTAAGATTATTTTTTAAAATATTCTTAAAATAATAACTAAAAATATTTTTAATAATTTTATATAGTTATGATGATGATAAAAACTTCATTCAGCTGTGAAAAATTTTAATTATTATTAAGTTTTTTTTTTTTCAAAAAAAATTTTTTTTCTTCTAATAATTAATTATTTGATTTTAATTTTTTTATTTTTTACACATAATGTGCAATAGTTTATACATATAGACTACAGCAATTATTAAGTCTCAAGTGAATTTGTTTTTATTTTTAATTATTTAAAATTTTATTAATTTAAATAATTTTTTGAAATATTAAGTAGAATGCTATTAAATTTGTATTGGAATTTTTTAATATTTCAAAATTAGAAATTATTTTAAAATACTTTTTACTTGATTCTTACATTTTTTAAAACTCAATCAGCGACTCATTTAATTAATTTCAGAATAAAATGCTCAATAAAATAATTGTGCTTTGTTAACACATTGTAACAAGCGGTAACAAATAACTCACCATTATTTTAACAATATATATATATATATTAATTTAAAAAACATGTCGAAAATTGCCGGTCAACAATGTGTTAATTAAATGATTATTATGATATTTCTATTAAAATCAAGTCTATTTTTATGGCACTACATGTCTTTCAGCGCCATTTTGAAATTTAAAATTAAAATATTATAAGTCGAAACTATCATTAAGACAAACATTTTTAAGATCAACCTTTAAAATTTAACAATTCCATAAACAAATGTTTAAGTCTTATTCCAAAAAAAAAAAAAACTCCAATTGCTCCTGATCCGGTATTAATTTTATTGTATAATTCACTCATATTCCTATATTACGTTCACATGACTTGTTTTATAACATCAGAAAATTATAAAAATTCAAACGTTTATAATTAAATTATTATTTTATAATTAATTTTTAATGAAGTCGTTGTAAAATCTTTTTAACAAGAAATTTAAAAATTTTTAAAAATCAAAAAATTAAAACAAAAATTAATTATTTTAAATTTTATGCTTAATTATCTGTACTCAAAATATTTATATACCTATAGTATATAGATATCTATCTATATAATTTAAATATACATACATCATTTTTATAAAAGAACTGTTGATAAATAATAACTTTAGTGTAAGATAGACAGAAAAAAAAAATTAAATTTAAAGCAAAAAAAAAAAAATATCTTTCTATTTTCTTTCTTTTTCATTTCTCTATTTTTCTCCTAAAAAAAGGGAAACAATATAACTTTCTCTCTTTTCACTCTTTTTTTTCTCTTTACTATAGCATTTTCATTAATTGTCATTTTCTCTCTATATCTTTGCGAACTTTTCTAACTTTCGAATATTTACTTTTCTTTATTATGAATTGGGTTACCGATTACACTTCAAAATTTATTTGCTCAAATTTTATTTCTAAATTAATTTATTGAAACAAATTGAATTTTATTAGGTGGTGGTTTAATGAACAAATCTTAAAATGATCAAATCAATTTCATCTAATAAAATACAATATTAAATAATTTTAATAAAATTTGTAGTGTAATTGGTAACAGTTTATTGCTTATACTTTTTAGAGCTAATATTAATTTAGCTTTCCTTTTCATTTTTTGTTTTATCTAAAACTAGATTATAAATTCGAATTATGTTACGTCAAAGAGAATTTTATGGCAATGAAAAAAACAAAATAAGAAACAATAATATTTCTGCCACTGAATTTTATTTAATGTAATATAAATCAAAAGCATAAAATTAAATTGAAAAACAATATTATTTAAAATATTTTTCATGTGTAAGTTATGTGTTTACCGAAACAAAAATATATACAAAAATATTTCGATTTGAAACGCCATATTTTTTAGATTTAATAATTAAAATTTCTTTATAAAATTTCTATTGATAATTTTGGCTTATGAATAATAAATTAGTTTTTAAATTTCAATTATATAATTTGATTATCAAGAATAATCAATTATACATATATACATAGCATATAAGTAATTTCTAACACATAACCTATACATATGAATTAGATACTATGACGCAAAAAAAGCAAAAACAAAAAAATACAAATTTTAAAAATTTCGATTTTTATGCCCACCGTTTTACTAAAATTTTCAATTTATAAAACAAGAATTTATGTATTTAATATTTAATTTTTTGTTTCTTAAAAAATACTTGTAAATAACAATTATACTTGTAGCCATTTTTCAACGCTTTAAATGCCAACATTCGAACAAATCACAATTTTCTCTATCATACGAAATTTCATTAGTTTTTTTTTTCAAAAATCAATTAATCATTTTATACTCGTATGGTGTTTTAGTTTGGTTTGAGACCGCATGGCGCATATGCAAATCATTTCACATCATTTTTAATTCTTACAATTTTTTTTTGTATACAATAGTATGCAGAATTTTTGAAAAAAATGTGAATTCAATTTATTTGAGGTTAATTTTTCTGTTGATTAAATGTAGATTAAATTTTTCTCTCGAAAAAGTGATGCACTCCAAGCAAGTTTAATTTATATTTTCCAAACGTTCTCATAATCTGTTACACTTTTACTTTTTCTTACTTTAATGACTATAGTATAACAATTTATCTTTACTTTGATTGTATTTTTCTTTACATTTTATTACTTTTTAATGCATTGCAAATATTTTTGTCTAGTTCTATATCAAAATCTTTTTATACGTTTGTATCGGTTACAATTTCTGGTTTAGATATTAAAATAATTAAGGTATAAAACTTTAGATGAGGCATTATTCACACTGCATGTTTATATTTTTTTATTTATCAAATTTTTCTTATTCCTTGGTGAATAAAGTGATGCCAAATTTATTTCTAACTCTTCTATTGTAACGCTCTTCTTCTCTAGCATATCATTATTATTTCTTACAATTTTCACTGTTAAAATTAAGTTATTTTGTATTTTCACTTTTTTCATTTTAAAAAACATTTTCTTCTTTTCTACTCTTACTATTTCTTTCGTTTTTTCTTTGAATACTTTTATTTATATTTATCTCAACTTTTACTTTTTACTTAATCTTAATTTTTTCATTCCACTAATTTTTAAAAATTTATTTTTCTAGATATATATATATATTTTTTGTATATATACATTATGCTCCCTTCCTTATAATCAATAAATTTCAATTTATATAATTAAAATCTTATCTGAATCTTTTATATAAAATATTTTACTTTTCACAATTCTTTATCTGAAATTTAATTTCTACTTTCTTTTTTCTAATTATCTTCATTATTTTTTCTCAATTATTTTAAACTTCTTTATTTCTTTTCCTTCTCTAACTACATATTTATATAATTTCCTTCATATTTCTTCTTATTAGATCTCTTTCTCTGTTATCTAAAAATTTCTAACTATCACTTTCTTTTTATCTATTTTTCCACTATTTTTCCTATCTTCAAGTATATTTTCTATTTTCATACACTTTTCTATTTTATTAAAGTTCTATAATATTTTTCATTTTTCTTCTTAAATCAAAAAACGAGTAGAACTATAATCTTTTTCTATTATCTATACTATTCTTCAATTCATTTCCGTTGTGAATTTTAATTCTCTTATATTTTTTATAATGATTCTGAAAATTTATGGTGGAAACCATAAGACAATAAATCTTCAAATTATTTTTACAATTTTTAATTTTTTGACTTCAACTTATTTTCAAATTCTAAATCACTTCACATTTTTCAGCTATCCTGTCACTATTCTGTCTTTTACATTTGCTTCTTATTCTCTCATATTTATTCTAAACTTTCTTCAATTTGTTATTTTCTACAGTTATTTATACTTTTCTTTTCTGAATTTAATAGTCTAGTTTTCTTACTTCTATTTTACTTCTTGTTTTTTTGTTATTTTCGATGTAATTTCTTAAATTTAAGTTGTAAAACAGATTCATTCACTTCAAAACTTAAAACTTTCTCTTTTTCTATATTTTTCATACATACTGATATTCTCTTTATACCAAGGTTCCTGCATCAACTCTTATCAATTAAATTCATTTAGTTTAAGCTTTACAATGAATTTCTACTTTCACATTTTTCAAAATTTAAACTTTTTCATTTCTACTACTTCTATTTTCATTTATATTCTGAAATTTCACTTTGTTTATTTTTTCCTTATTTCATGATTTTTCTCTGACATTTTTTATTTTTAAATATCTTAATTTTTTGTTATTGAAACCTTATTTTTTCTATTTCCAATAAATTGTGTTTACTTTTTATGGTTTCATTATTTTGCTCTTCCTTTGAACACGTTATATGATTGATTCTTTATTCTTCGTTTTGATATTTCTATTTCATTATTTTTCATTTCTTTATCATTATTTCATATTTCTATCTCCTATTTTTCTTTTCATTCTTCAAACAATTTTCTATTGTTGCTTTGTTTTCAATTTCTTCACCAACCTTTACTTTTTTTATGTTTGTACTTAAGAGTTTATTTTCATTATCTAATGTTCACATCTACATTCAACTGAAATTTTTTTGTGTTTCTATTTCTTTTTTCTTTCCTATTATTTTATACCTTAATTATTTTATAGTTGTTATACTCTATTCAAAAACTTTTTTGTCTATTTTACAATTTCATGTTTAAGCTTTTTTTTTATTACTTACTGTACTTTTCTAACTAAAGAATCTTTCATTATCTCATATTTAACTTTATTTCTTAAATGTCTTAAATATTGATCTCTTCTATGTATACTTCTTAATTTCTTCGTTTTCCATGTTCTAAATAATTTAGTTATTAACAAACTTCGCTCTCGGTAATCTATTTTGTGTCATCTATAATTTTATCCAATATTTACTGTTGTAAATTTCTTTTTCCAAAACTTACTCTTTCTATTATTCGTTTCTATTATTTTCACATTATTCTATTTTTAAATATCTTCTAAATAATTTTTCTATCTTCCTTTTTCTTAATTCTTTCTATCTCTTTTAAAATCTTTTTTAACTTTTTTAAAGATTCTGTAGCTCAACTAATATAATAATTAATTGGTTAACATGACAAAAATTATTTGATGAATATTAAAATTGTTCTATATAACAATTAACGCTTGAGATGAGTTTTTTATATATTTGTGCTAATTTTAAATGTGTAACGTTTTTAACACTATAATTTTTCTATTTCTTCCTACGTCCTCACTTTGTTGTATAATTATTTTTTTTTTATCTTTTTTATCTTTATTCTTTTACTATTTCAAACTGTTTTCCTGTATTCTCTTCTTTCTGTGTTTTCTTAATCTCTTTTTTTATTGCTCTTTTTCTATCTCACTTTTTTCCTCTCTTTTTTCCTTGTTCACTTCTTCTCTCTTTATATTTCAGTCCCTATTTCTACAACTTTTCTTTTACTTTTTCATATTTCTCACGTTTTCGTTTTTCTTTCTTTATCATCTTTCTTATTCAATTTCAGTATATTCATATCTTCTATTTTCTATCTTTCCTTATTTCTTTACTTATTTTTTAACTTTTATATCTCTTCACAATATTCAGTATGTTCTGCTATACTCCCTT